GGATGCAATTTTTAAATTTTTTACATTTTTAATAGTATTTTTTTCAATTATATGTAAAGACAATTTTTAACATTCTTTCTTTTTTGTTTGTTTTGGGTTAGGCAATGGTGTTAAGTGACGGGCCCAGGGTCACACAGCTAGTGTCAAGTGCCTGCGGCTGGATTTGAACTCAGGGCCTCCTGACTCCAGGGCTGGTGCTCTATCCAATGCGCCACTTAGCTGCCCCTTCAACATTCATTTTTACAAAAATTTTGAGTTCCAAATTTCTGTCCCTTCCTCCCTCTTCTCCTCTCTTCCTAAAACAATAAGCAATTTGATACAGGTTATTTATGTGTAATCATGTAAAACATATTTTCATATTAGTCTTGTTGTGAAAGAAGAAACAGACCAAAAGGGAAAAAAAAACAAGAAAATAGAGAAAGAAAGTGAAAATAATATGCTTCAATCTGTATTTAGACTCCATCAGTTTGTTCTCTGGATATGGATAGCATTTTCAATCGTGAGTCCTTTGGAATTGTCTTGGATCATTGTATTGTTGAGAGGAGCTAATTCATTCATAGTTAATCATCACACAATGTAACTGTAACTGTGTACAATGTTCTCCTGGTTCTGCTCATTTCTTGTTGCATCAGTTCATGTAAGTCTTTCAGGTTTTTCTGAAATCTGCCTGCTCATCATTTCTCATTGCACAATAGTATTCCGTTACATTCATATACAGCTTGTTCAGTCATTCCCCAATTGATAGGCATCCCCTCAATTTCCAAATTTTTGCCACCACAAAAAGAATTGTTATAAATATTTTTGTGCATGTAGGTCCTTTTCCCTTTTTTAAGGATCTCTTTAGGATAGAGACCTAGTAGTAACATTGCTGGATCAAAAGGTATACACAGTTTGATTGCCCTTTGGGCATAGTTCCAAATTGCTTTCCAAAATGGTTGGATCAGTTCACAACTCCACCAACAATGCATTAGAGTTCCAATTTTCCCACATCTTGTCTAACATTTATCATTTTTCTTTTCTGTTATATTAGCCAATTTGATAGGTCTAAGGTGGTACCTCAGAGTTGTTTTAACGTGCATTTCTCTAATCAAAAATGATTTTGAGCATTTCTTCATATAACTATAGATGGCTTTGATTTCTTCATCTGAAAACTGCCTGTTCATATCCTTTGACCATTTGTCAATTGAGGAATGGCTTGTATTTTTATAAATTTGACTCAGTTCTCTATATATTTGAGAAATGAGGCCTTTATCAGAGTTATTTGCTGTAAAAATTGTTTCCTCACTTTCTGTTTTCCTTCTAATCTTGGTTGTGCTGGTTTCATTTGTGCAAAAACTTTTTAATTTAATATAATAAAAAATATCTATTTTACATTTTATAATGCTCTCTATCTCATTTGGTCATGAATTCTTCCCTTCTCCATACATCTGACAGGTAAACTATACCTCGCTCTCCTAATTTGCTTATAATATCAACCCTTATGTCTAAAACATGTACTCATTTTGACTTTATCTTGATATACAGTATAAGATGTTGGCCTATACCTAGATTCTGCCATATTGTTTTCAAGTTTTCCCAGTAGTTTTTGTCAAGTAGTGAGTTCTTATCCCAGAAGCTAGGGTCTTTGGGTTTATCAAACACTGAGTTACCATGGTCATTTACTACTATGTCTTGTGTACCTGATCTATTCTATGGATACACCATTCTACTTCTTAACCAGTACCAGATAGTTTTGATGGTTGACACTTTATAAGATAGTTTGAGAACTGGTACTACTAGGCCCCCTTCCTTTGCATTTTTTCCCCATTAAATCCCTTGATATTCTTGACCTTCTGTTCTTCTACATGAATTTTGTTATTTTTTCTAGCTCTATAAAATAATTTTAGGAAGTTTGATATGGCACTGAATAGGTAAATTAGTTTAGGCAGAATTGTAATTTTTATTATATTGGCTTGGCCTACCCTTGAATAATTGATATTTTCTTAATTGTTTAGATCTGACTTTATTTGTATGAAAAGTATTTTGTAATTGCGTTCATATCATTCCTGGGTTTGTCTTGGCAGGTAGACTCTCAAGTGTTTTATATTGTCTACGGTTATTTTAAATGGAATCTTTCTATCTATTGCTGCTGGGTTTTGTCGGTAATATGTAGAAAGGCTGATGAGTTATGCAGTATTATTTTATATTCTGCAATTGGCCATTTAAAAAACTACTGTTTGCGTTTTCTTTGGTTTGTTGTTGTTCAGTTATTTATTCATGTAAGACTTTTTGTAGCCCCAACTGGGGGTTTTCTTGGCAAAGATACTGGAGTGGTTTGCCATTTCCTTCTACAACTCATTTTACAGATGAGGAAACTGAAGGAAACTGAGTTCAAATCCGGCCTCAGATGTTTACTTGTCATGTGATCCGTGGCAAGTCACTTAACCCTGCTTGCCTCAGTTTCCTCATCTGTAAAATGAACTAAAGAAGGAAATGGCAAACCACTCCAATATCTTTACCAAGAAAACCCCAAACGTGGTTACGAAGAATCAGACACAACCGAAAACAAGTGAACAACTTTCAGACTTCAGGATCAGTTCTATCCACTGTGTCACCTAGCTGCCCATTTGATTTACTCATTTCTTGTTGTTTTTTTTTGTTTTGTTTTGTTTTTATTGTTGTTGTTGTTTTTTTGATGAGGCAATTGGAGTTAAGTGACTTGCCCAGGGTCATACAGCTAGTAACTGTTAAGTGTCTGAGGCCGGATTTGAACTCAGGTACTCCTGACTCCAGGGCCGGTGCTCTATCCACTGCGCCACCTAGCTGCCTCTTATTCATTTCTTTAATTCCTAAATTAGGGCCTTGTGCCATGGCCAGGCTCTATCCCATGCTGAACTTTTGGGTGGGAAGGTTGGGCCAGCTTCATCTTGCCCAAGGTCCCCTGGGTCCCTGGGCTGATCCCCACTTTCCAGGGTTAGCATCCCTCTCCTGATCTTTGAGGTCCAGAGTGCTGGATCTTCAGGGCTTTCTATGGCATCTCAAGGCAGAGTGCAAGGAACCTCAGTGTCCTGAGGTGTCCCAATCAAAGCCATGCTGGCACTGGTCACTGCTGTTTCCTGGGGCTTCTGAGATCCCTGCTGTCAGTTTTGAATCATCCTTAGGCTCTCTAGTGGAAGCCCTCCACTTCTGCTGCCTCTGGACACAGAACCCTACAGGCTGTCCTTGTTTCTGACCCATCTCTGGTACAGGCTGCTGCCTTGTTTGCGTATTTGGGTGCTGGCTTTTTTGGAGGTCCCCTTTCCAATAATCTATGGGCTATTGAATCCCTTTTAGTACAATTTTGGGGTAGAAGAAGTCACTTACTTTAGCTTCTTGGTTGGACTAGATTTAGTTTCTTGATTGGATTTCTTAATCATTATTTGTTCTGGGAGAAATTTCAGGTTTTGGTGGAGTAGGTGTAAGGGAGCTGGTCAGCCTGCCTTTGTTCAGGCAATCATCTTGACCAGAATTCTCTAGTTCTCAATTTAAATTCACCCCGTGGGCATTACTACTTTGGTATCTTAAATTGATCATCTTACCTCTGAAGACTTTTCTAACTTCTTTACTTCTTATCATGGCAATGCCATTCTCTGACTCGTGTCAGCTAAAAAACCTTAAGAGTCACTTTTGTCTGTTTCTTTCCCCTCATCTGCCACATCTAATCAGTTATTGGGTTCCGTGCGTACCATCACAATAACCTCTCTCATGTACCTCCTCTTTGACACTTCCATTGACAAGACCACTCAAGCTGTATTAGACCAGAGTGTGGGAAATTGATTGATATAGGTTATTGACTAGTTGTAAAGGGCTTCAGAAGCTAAATGGAGGAGATTAAATTTGATCTTAGAGGTAATAGGGAGTCACTGATGTTTGTTGAGTAACTGAATGACATGGTCAGATGTGCACTTAGAAAATCACCATATGATTTACAGAAATGACTTACAGTTATTATTAGTAAATAAATTCTTTTCAAATGAATCCATTGAGAACGTGAGCTCCTCGAAAGCAGGGGCGGTCTTTTACCTTTCTTTGTATTCTGAGCACTCAGTATAGTGCCCGGCACGTAGTAGGCACTTCCTAAATTTTTGTCTGATTGAATGGAAGAACTGGTTTTGATAAGGAAAAAAATCCTAGGAGGCTCTATCAATTTGAGGGAGTTCGTCATGAAGGATATTTGAAAAGATATAAGACAAGAATCACACAGGTTGAGAAAGCGTAGATACACTGCTGTATTAATCCCAGAATCATCAAGCTGGAAGAGATCTCTGTGGGGAGTTAGTCCAACTCACACCATACCCACGCCACACCAGACTGTTCATCCAGCCTCTGAGTGTGAAGCCACAGTTCTCGAGGCGGACCTTTGCACTCTGGGACAGCAGCAATTGTTGGCAAGTTTCCTCACACATAACTAATTGGCCTCTTTGAAACTTTTACCCATTTCTTTTTATTCTGTCCTTTGAGGAAGGGGGGATGGAAGGAAGGAAGGAAGGATGGGAGGGAGGGAGGAAAGAACTAAGAGAGGGAGGGAAGGAGGATGAAGGAGGAAAGGAGGAAGGGAGAGAGCGAGGGAGGAAGAAAGAGGGAAGAAGGTAGGAAGGAAGTGAAGAAGAAAAGGAAAGAAGGAAGAGAGGGGTGAGGACGAAGGAAGGAAACAAGCATTTATACAGCACCTACTGTGCGCCAGGCTCTGTGCTAAGAGCTTTACAATTATTATCTCATTTAAGCCTCACAACAACGGGGGGAGGGGGCAGCTATCACTGTCTCCATTTTTACAGATGAGGGCACTGAGGCAAACAGACTAAATGCATTGCCCGGGGCCCCCACCCGGCGGTTGTGGGAGGCAGAAGAACTCGACCTCGACTTTCCCGGCCTCCAGCTCCCTGGGAACACGTGGACGTCCTGCCCCGCCCCCCGCAGGTTGGGCCCCGCCTCCTTCCCAACCCTTCCCCCCCCGTCCCGCAGCGCCCCCTGCCGGCGCTCACTTAGCAGGCCCCGCAGGCGGAAGGTGCGGTGTTCCACTGTCAGGTTCAAGGAGCGGTAGGGCCCGTAGCGCAAGAAGACGAGAGCTCTCTTGGGCATCTTGGACCGCGCAGGCACAGGAGCAGGCGCAGGCGCAGACGCGGACTGTGCGTGGGCCGCGGCCGGGTGGGGGGGGCTGGGGACAGAATGGCCGCCCTGTGGGCGCGGCAGAGGTTTCTAGGGGCGGAGTCTCTTCCGGTCCCTTGGCGGTGGCGGAAAGGGGGAGTCCAAGGACAAATGAGGGCTTGTGGGAGGAGACCCCTGGAGAGGAGCCCCGGAGGAGTGTGATGGGATCCGGTGACTGGACAGGAGCGGGACTTCCAAGCTCCGGCGTGGGCCTGGGCCCGGTTCCGCATTTCTGCCTGGGCCTGCTTAATGAAGTCATAGAAGGGGGGCTTATGAAGTTTGTGGTGACCGAAAGTCGGGGGCAGGGGTGGGGTCAGATAATGGGCCTCTTGTGGACCCGGGACTCACCCAACAAGGGGAGGCCACACGGACCGGCTTGGCAAGGGTTTTTCTGAAAAAAGCCCCTGCGTTCTTAGTGGACCTGGTTCAAGACCAGGCAGTTAGAAAAGTGAATGTGGTCTAACTGAAGAGGGTGAGGCAACTAGGTGTCATAGTGGAATGAGCCTCAGAGTCAGGAACACCTGAATTCAAATCTGGCCTCAAACACTTAGTAGCCCTGTATCCCTGGGCAAGTCACATAGCTCAATTTGCCTCAGTTTCCTCATGTGTAAAATGAGCTGGAGAAGGAAATGGAAAACCTTGGCAGTATCCTTGCCAAGAAAACCCCAAATGGGGTCATGAAGAATCAGACTCGACTGAACAACAACAAAAAACTGAGGAGTGTAGAAGAGTTTCCCGAAGCTTAAGTCTACTTTTCCTTTCTGAGTCTCTTGCTTTGTGTGCTGTAGGGGGGTGCCAACACCCCTGGCTATGGCAATAGCCTCCCAGTTGGTCTTCTGCTTGAGCCCCTTTTCCAGTCCATCCTCCACACACCTGCCAGAGATTTTCTTCTAGAGCAGTTCTGAGAGGGCCACTTCCCTGCTCAAGAAACTACAACCACTCCTCATTATCTCCTTCATCAAAGTTAAGTTTCTCCCATTCACCTTTAAGGCCCTTTATGAGTGTCTTTCCAACTTTATACATTACTCCCCTTCAGCCTAAGTAGCCTTTTTGCTGTTTCTTGAATATAATCTCAGATCTCTGCACCTTTGCAGTGGTTCTACACACCTGGAGCATGCTCTCTTCTCTACGACTCTTGCAATTACTTGTTTCCTTTAAAACTGCTTAGAGACACCTTCAACATTAGGCGTTCCCTGATCCCTGCCTCCTTCCATTCCTCAGCTACTAGTTGCCTTTACTCAGAATTTAAAAAAAAATTATTTAGGGGGAGAGGGTGTCTAGAATCTGGGTGCAGTTTTAAGGCCTCCTCTGATAGAATGTAAATTCCTTGAGGGCAAGGACTGTTTCATTTTTGTCTTTGTGTCCCCAGTCCCTGGCATTGTGCCTGGCACATAGTAGGCACTTAACAAATCGGTGTTGATGAATTGATTTGTGTAAGACATTGTGTTGATTGCTGCTGCTAAAGAGAAAGATGTGAATTCATACTTCACCTCATGGAACTTCAGTGTTGGAAGGAAGGACAAGAATATAGGCATCAACGAGGTAACAATACAGCATAGCAAGAAGATAAATGCTAAATAAGTGCTGTGATTCTAAAAGCCATAGGAAATTGTGGGGAGGCAGTGGGGAGGGAATGAGAAATCACCATGGCCTGGGGGGGGGGGGCAAGGAAGGCTTCATAGAAAATCCACTCATTAAAGTTTGTATGAATAGGATTTAGATATTTGGAGTTGAGAGAGAAAGTTGGCAGAAGTTTCTCCGAGAAGTGAACCCTTTGATCCAACAATACCACTACTATGTCTGTCCCAAAGAGAGTATAAAAGAGGGGAAAAGACCCACATGTACAAAAGTATTTATAGCAGCTCTTTTTGTGGTGGCAAAGAATTGGAAATTGAGGGGATACCCATCATTTGGGAAATAGCTGAGTAAGTTGTGGTATGTAAATGTAATGTAATACCATTGTGCTATAAGAAATGAAAAGCAGGCAGAAATGAATATGTTTTTCTCTCTTGATTTGGACCTTTACATCCCACTACAGGGATGTTTACAGGGAATGAGTGAAAAGTGAGAAGGGAGGAAGTTTTGAATTTTCAAGTGCAGCACAGATCGATATTCTTCCTCCCTAGAGGGAGAAACTTAGGATTAATTTAGAGAAGTTATTAGTTCTTGTTTCAGACTGCTTTGGCTGTCACCTGGAGCACTCTTCTCTATACAATATTTTTATCTCCTGTATCCAATACACAAACAATATTAAACTAAAAGAGAAGAACGAGTAATAGATAATGGCATATTTCCTCAAGCTGAGATCAAGGTGGTTAGTGTGTTTATCTTTCACCTACTCTGTTTCTTTTACTGTCTTATTTTCCAGTTATTTAGGAAGAATGGCAAATAAGGAGGAACTTGTAGTGAGCTGACCTTTTTTTTTTTAAATTTGGTATCAAATTTTCCTTTTTTAGTTAATTTAGTGAGAAGAAGCTTCACATAGTGGATAGAGAGATGGCACCAGGCTCAGGAAGACCCGGGTGGAAGTCCAGAAGTACATCCTGATTCTATAAACCTGGACAAATCACCTAACCTCTCAGTGCCCCCATGCAATCCCCAGAGACTCTCAGAAATGGTAGTGATCTGCATTGGCAAAGGAAGTTCCTCTCTGTCCCAGTGGAACCACAGTTGTGGTTAAAAAAAGAAATAGAAGAAAAATCCCTACCACATCTATACTTTAGGGGGGCTTGGCTTTAAACTGAGAGGAATTTTTGAACTGGTTCCTTGTATTTCTTGGGGTTGAGGAATGGTACTTGCTATAGGGAATGAATCTTTGGTTACTGTTGTGAATGTGTGTACATATTAAAATAATACATTTGTAAAATTTTATACGTTTTCTAATTGCTTTTACATATATATGAATGCTTACTATGTGCTAGCACAATGTCTGACACAATGCTTTTTCATTCATTCTCCTATTAATATGTCATCTCATTTGATTATCACAATACTCCTACAAGGTAGGTGAGTAAGGTATTATAGTTATCCATATTTTACAGAAAGAAAACAGACTAAGATTAATTTACATGCCCATGGTCACACAGCAAGTCAGTGACAGAGTTGAGAAAGGCTTCCTGAATCTTACCCTAGTACATTCCCTACTATATCATACTTGGATGTCTGTTTCTATGTATTTGCATATCAGTTCTCTGTCTCTGACTCTTTCCATCTGTTTGGTTCTCCCATTTTAAGCAATTAAAGCCCTTGGGGGTTTATACTATCAATCACCTTATCGTCCAAGTCTTCTACCAACACTATTATAGGATAACGCTATTATCTTAAAGCATATATCCATCCTTGTCATCTTGTAGTGTAATAGGGGAAACAAATACATTTTTCCATCTTATGTTTTTCTGCCTGTCCTAATATCTATAGGACACATGCTGATTGGTCACTAGAGAAATGCCTAGATACTGGTTGACATAACTTATAGGGATAATACCAAACAAAGCACAATACAGCTACTATAAATTAAAATGAAAGCAAGTGACATCTTTCTTTTTATTGAATACAGATTTATATTTCTTAAATACTTTGTCATGTTTATCAATATACAGTTCTTTTCATCATACATATACACACATTTTTGAAGCACAAAACTATAACTTAAAATTCAGCTGCTATAAATACAATTTACACATTGTCATAAACCTATACTATTTTATAAAAATAGGACTAAAATATCAACTCTATATTTTGGCAAATTATAGGGAATATGGGAAAGTCATATACATTTTTAATTTGCTTCATCATTTCAGAATGAATCTCTGGGTTTAACTGACTCTTTGGATACACATGTAAGAGGTGCCACCTAAAAATATTCCTATGGTTATGGCTCAGTTTTGCCTTTGCATAAATATTTGATATTTCTAACCTTTCTTGGACTGGACAGGTCTCTTTCTGTCCCCTTTCTCTAAGGGAAAAGCTATTATTTTCTGCCAGTCAAAAACCTATACTTAAAACTCTCCAAGTGCGTAAAACTGTGCATCTAACTTCAAAATATATAATATATTGAGTATCTTGTTAACAGCTTTGCACAGGTAATATGTGTTTACATTCTATCATTCAAATATAGTGGTAGAAATGAGTTTGGTTCAACCAGCCTTGTTTTAATTAACCATCTTATAAACTCAAAAAGTGTTCCATAGAATCACAGAGTGACCCCACAAGAAGTAGCTATGCCTTTCCGTTAATATCGAGGTAGCCTAGAAAATAACTTGAGTCTTTTGCTTCTTCAAACAGATCCATGTCTTTGAAATATGGTCAAACAGTTACTTGTTGTAACTTATACTAGATGGAATTTCCTAATCCATCCTGATACAGCTCGAACAATTTAATCTCTTTAAGTCAACAAGCATTTATTAAGAGCCTAATTATGCGCCCCGCACTCTGTTAAGTACTGGGCATACAAAGAAAACTACAACTTCAGGTGGGGAAAGAATAAGAAGAGAGAACCATTCTTCAAAGATGGATGCAGTTTGTCTTGATTAAAAAAAAAAAACAAACCAGAATGTAGCTAGTGATTCATTACATGTATTACGTAATGGCAGCAATAACATTTGTGTGATAAGTGAAGCTCAGTCTCTAAACTCAACTTTGATTTGGAAATTTGAGACCAACACAACCCAAACCCCAAAGCAAACAAACCCCCGCACTAAAAAAGGCTAGCCATAATGGTTTCTGTTGGTATTTTTTTTTTTTTTTTGCATTTTAGGATGTATATGGGTCAAATATAGAAGGGGAGAGGAGTGCTCTAAAGAAGCACTAATGGTCAGTACCCTACTCCAACCCCATCCCCACCTCCCCACCCCCTGGGAAATGGACAGTATCCCATTAAAATGACACTGTTCCCTGCCTCTGCATTTCACTCGTCTCTAACTGACTCTAATGTC